AAAATTTTTATTATTTTTGTGTGCGTGTACTGTCAAATCAGATCTGACTGGTACAGGAGGAGATTGCCCCTCCTTCCCTGGCAGAGCATCTGGTGGATTCGAACCATGCACCTCTGGGATTGTAGTTGCAGCTTCTTGCCACTAGGCCACCAGAGCTCCCCGAGCAATTGCTTTTTAAAATAGGATCAACTTGACAACAAGGGGGCAGTGAATTTATGTCAACAGGTAAACTCTGAAAAGGAGAATGAAAATAGTTGGAAAATTCAACGAATGCAATCAGTGTCACTAAACGGTACATGCATAGACTGCAGAATTGATGTATAAATCTCAATAATAACCAAGTAACTATTGTTTTTAAAATAATAAACATAACCTATTTTCTAACCTTAAGAAGACCTAAGAAAGACTCAATGATCTTGTAATTATAACAATTTAGTAAAGTTACATTCATTTCATTCAAGGATCCCGGTAACTTTTCATATAAGTACTTTATGAATTCTAACCACTGCAAGTACTTATTTACTTGATAAATTATGTGATACCACTGCATTTTGGCTATTAAATCGACATTGTTGTTATGAGATGCCTTTAAGTCAATGATGACTCATAGTTGTTGTAATAGGAACCTACCCAGAGCTGACCCTTCAGCAGGTTTTCAGAGGCAGTTAAGTCATGCAGGAAAAGACTGCTCATCCTTCTTACACAGAGCAGCTGATGGTTTCAAACCATGTGCCTCAGAACTGCAGCGCTGCTTCTTACCACTAGGCCACCAGAGTTCTCGTGAGCCATATAGACCCAATGAAAAGTAGATCTGAACCTTGCCCTATCCTGCACCATCCTCCCTATTTCTGATAGGCTGCAAGCCCACTGTTACAGTCACTGTGTCAGTTCATCTTATTGTGAGTTTTCCTCTCTTTCTCTGACCCTCCACCTTTTCCAGTAGGACGTCTTTTTTCCCCCAAGGACTGGTCTGCACAGCAATCTACTAACAGTATTCTAAGTTGTTTGGTTTTTTATACTTTGACTATGTATGAATCCTTAAAATCCATTTTTATCATTCTTACAGAAAGCAAAGAGTACTAGAGGGATATCTGTCTGTGTTTCATTGACTATGCAAAGGCATTTGACTGTATAGAAAATAACAAATTATGATTAACACTGAGAATGGAAATCCAAGAACACTTGATTGTGCTTATGCAGAATCTATACTTGGACCTCCTCAGAACCGAGCAGGGAAACACTGCATGGCTCAAAATCAGGAAGGGAGTGTGTCAGGGATGTGTCCTGTCTCCATACCTTTTCAGATCATTTGGAAAGCTGGGCTTGAGAAGGAATGTGGCATCAGGCTTGAAGGAAGACTAATCAACAACCTACGTTATACAGATGACACACCCTGCTTGCTGAAACTGAGGAGGACCTGAAGCACTTGCTGCAGAAGGTCAAGGATTGTAGTCTTCAATATGGATTGAAGCTCAACATCAAGAAGACAAAGATTCTCAACACTGACCCAACTGACACCACCATTATGGATGGAGAAGAGATTGAGGTTGTTAACAAGTAGAACTTGCTCAGCTCCACAATCAACACTTTTGGCACCACCAGTCAGGAAATCAAAAGACAAACTGCATTAGGTAAATGAGCTGTGAGGGACCTTTCCAGAGTACTGAGAAGCAACAATGTCATTCTAGAGACTAAGATGTGCCTGATCCAATCCATGATCTTCTCAGCTACTTGCTATGCATCAGAGAGCTGGTTAATAGACTAAGGATGATAGAGGAAGAATTTATGCCTTTGAATTGTGGTGCAGGAGAGAAGAGTCTTGAACATACCATGGACCACCAAGAAAACAAATAGGTCTAAGAGAGGGAAACCAAGTTCCTCTTTGGAGGCTAGGATTTTGAAGCTCCATCTCATATACCTTGGGCACGTGGCCAGGAAGGATCGATCCTTGGAGAAGTACATCATGCTCAGAAGGGTAGAGGGACAGCACAGGAGAGGAAGACCCTGGATGAGATGGATTGATACAGTAACTGGGGCAATGGGGGTTGGTGTGTCGGAATTAGTGAGACTGGCTCTGGACAGGGCAGGCTTCAGAGCTTGTGTACATAGGGTTGCTATGAGTCACAGGTGACTTGACAACACATTTTATCTAGACAAAATGGAATTTTTCATTCTAATAGTACTTAAATGATAAATTACCTCTATGTTTATTCAGAAGTTTGTAACCTTCACAGTATCTGCCTGAAGAAGTTGTCATCTTGGCTGTGTCAAGATATGAATATGTTGCAGCAAAATCAAACTCCTTTTTACCATCCCACCAACCTTTCTGCTTAGCATAGTTTCTCATGTCAGGATGCTCCCGATCAATCTTAGTTGTTACTGACAACTGATTCGAGATATTACGAACTCCCTCTGTTATCAAAGAAGAGAGAAGAAAAAATGTTTAGTATAAGGTATAGCTGTGTACATATAATTCTTAATTATTTTTTAAATATAAATATATTGTTGTTAGGTACAAGTCTATATTGACATTGTCGTCATCACTGTGTACCACAGTGTTGGAACAGACCCACAGCTGACCCTCTGGTGGGTGTTCAGAGGCAGTTAATCACACAGGAGGAGACTGCCCTTCCTTCTCCCATGGAGCAGCTGATGGTCTCAAATCGTGTGCCTTCCGGATTGCAGTGCAGCTTTTTGCCAGTAGGCCACCAGAGCTTATATGTATTTGTAAATTTTGTACCATGTATGACATACTAAAGATAATAATTATTTTTAAAGCAAACTTTTTATTTTGGGATCTTTACATATTTGTACATAGTAGTAAGAAGTAACGTAGAGAGATCTCGTATACACATCATTCGGTTTCCCCCAATAGTCACATCTTACAAGATGAGTCTTAATATACTAATATCACAATGAAGGTATTGGGATTTACAGTCAAAATATAGCATATTTCCATCATCACAAGAATTCTTCATGTTATACATACAGACACAAACATATTGGTTCTGATTCTCCAGGAAATTCCATATTTTGTAGGGAGTTCTGATGACCTAGCTGAACTGCCAACCCAAAGACAATTTATTCTAATCCATCAGCTGCTCCATGGGAGAAAGACAGGAAATCTCCTCCCACATGATTTACTGCCCCTGAAAACCACCCCCTCAAGAATCAGTTATGCCTTTCTACGAAGATGGTACCAAAAGTGAAGAGGGAAGCCCCTGCCCCTCCCAAAACTGAAGCCAAAGCAAAGACATTAAAGGCCAAGAAGGCAGTCCTGAAGGGCATCCGCAGCCAAAAAAAAAAAAAGAAGAAGAAGAAGGTCTGCATGTCCCCCACTTTCTGGCGGCCTAAGACACTGAGACTCCAAAGGCAGCCCAAATACCCCTGGAAGAGCACCCCCAGGGGAAACAAGCTTTACCACTATGCCATCATCAAATTTCCCCTGACCACTGAGTCAGCCATGAAGAAGATAGAAGATAACACACTTGTGTTCATTGTGGATGTCAAGGCCAACAAGCACCAAATTAAACAAGCTGTAAAGAAGCTCCATGACCTTGATGTGACTAAGGTCAACACCTTGATTAGACCTGATGGCGAGAAAAAGGCCTATGTTCGACTTGCTCTTGACTAGGATGGTTTGGTTGTTGCCAACAAAATTGGGATCATCTAAACTGAGTCCAGCTGGCTAATTCTAAATACAAATTTTTCTCAAACACACACACAAAAAGAATCAGTATGACTTGATTCCCACTCGACTGCACATATTAGTAATACTATCTAATCTAGCTTTAGTGACTGGGGTAATGAGTGTAGGTGTGTCAGAGACAACAGGATTGGCACAGGAAAGAATAGGGTTTAGGGCTTTCGTGCATAGGGTCACTATGAGTCATAGGTGACTTGACTGATGACACATAACAACAATGACAACAACATCTAATCCGAATCAAATCAATACCTGATCTAGTAGATAGAAAGCTTTAGTTCTTGGAATAATTTGGTAATAGAGAAAAAAGGTGGCAAGGTTAATCCACAACTAGATAAGTAGAACCAATGAAAGTATCTTTTGAGATGGCCAACTGGAACTCTTTTGCAATAGAATATATTTACTTATTTCTCTCTTGCATGTAACACACTTAAAAAAGTAAGTATCCGCACTGCAATCCCAGAGGTATGCAGTTCGAATCTACCAGGTGCTCTGCTGGAGAAAGAGGGGCAATCTCCTCCTGTACTAGTCAGATCCAATTTGACAGTACACACACAAAAAATAATAAAAAATTTAAAAAAATTATAATAAAAGTAAGTATCCATTGGTACAATCAGACCAATTATCATAATAAGAAAAATAGTTTCAATATTATTTTAATGCATACATATAAGCAAACATACATGCAAAATTTCCAAGATCAATTTCTATTAAAACAATTGTCCAAAAGCGTTTTTTGAACAATCCCAGAGGTGCACGGTTCGAATCCACCAGATGCTCTGCCAGGGAAGGAGGGGCAATCTCCTCCTGTACCAGTCAGATCTGATTTGATGGTACACGCACACAAAAATAATAAAATTTTAAAAAAAAAAGCGTTTTTTGAAAAATAACCACCAACTTCTCTAATGCACAAGGCCACCTCCATGAAGCCTTTCCAAATACCCCAGCTTACAGGAACGTTCCTTTCTCTGTGTTTTCACAACAGCCATGTGTCTGTACCACTTAACATTGTCATATGTCTCTCTTATTTCTCTAGTAAAGCTAGAAGATCCAGGAGACAAGCAAACAGGAAGCATCTGACTATGACTGAACGCAGGACTGTGCTCTAGTGGAAAGAATGGCAGACTGAGTGGCAGGACTGAAAGACTTACATTTCAAGTCTCTCAATCATTCATCCTTAAAGTCATTTTATTTCCCTGGCTTTTCTCACTTGAAAACGGAAACAACAGTAAAGAAATTTTGGGGGAAATGAAGAGCATTATAAAATAGTAAGAATGTGCTGTTTTACTCAGTGCTACTAAAATTGTTTTCATTCAGACACAGTAAAAAGCTATGAAATCAACAAATCCTAACTAATCACCAGATACTAGTGCACAGCTTCACTCCCACATCTCTCTACCTACACATGATTAAATTTTGGCGTTTAGGCCAAAGTAAAAAGAAGAAATACTAAGGAATTTTAAGTAAAAAGCACAGATCAGGATATATACCAAAGTTATATAAAATTTGTAATTTCATGATAACTCCCCCTTTTTCTCTTGCTCTTAAAAAGACATGTTGTGGCAAAAATAAATAAAATAAAAAGACATGTTGCATTAGGAAAGCCTGGAGTCAGGGACCACTCCAAAGTGCTGAAGAGCAAGGATGTAAGTTTCAAGACTAAGGTACCCAAGATCCAAGCCACAGTTACTTGCTATACATCTGAGATTTGGGCAGTGAATAAAGATGAGAAAATAATTGATGCCTTTGAGTTATGATGCTAGGGAAGAGGACTGTCAAGAGAACAAACCAATTATGTCTTAGAGAGGGTTCAGCCAGGGTGCTCCTCAGAGGGAAGGATAGTGAAACTCTGTCTCACACACTTTGGACATGTTGTTAGGAGGGACCTGTCCTTGGAAGAGAAAAGTGGAGGGTCAGCAACAGAGGGAAGAAGCCTCAAAGAGATGTACTGGCACAGTGCTGTAACAATGCACTCGAGTGTGTTTGAGATGATGAGGATGACACAGGATAGGGTAGAGCTCAAAGATATTGTTCACAGGGTCCCTTTGACTCATGGTCAACTCAACAGCTCCTATTAACACCACAATATTCTTTGACATAGGTTTTTCTTTAATTTGCTCTGCAAATCAATCTTTCATTGCACTGAATTATAAACATGAATGAAAAAAATTGCATGCAGTGTTTTAAATTACAGTGGGATTTTATTATTGCAAAACAAAATAAATTATAGAAAGTTATCCATACCTTGTACTTTTTCTGCTGCCCAGTACTTCCCTGCTGTCTCCAAAATCCAAGCTTCATTCCTATCAGCTATCAGGAAGCTGTTGTGGTAACTGAATTCCATACCACCCTCTGTACAATTTCCACCCTGGCCATATCTTTCTAACAAATCAACAATGACACTGAGGGCTTTTTCCGCTGTATCAGCTCTTTCAAGGCCAAGCCTAAAATTTTAAAAAAATTCTCAGATTAAAATAAATTCTCATTATTTTTTTTTATTAAATAATTTCCTGCTCAGGATATTTTGTGCTTGTGCTCAAAATAAAACTTCTTTCCGAGAAGCAGGTAAATGAAATCTAACTACTAAACTTTTCCTTCCAAAATTAGAAAAGGAATCATGAAATAGAAAGCTTTGGATGGAAAAAAAAAACCAACCCAACAAACTAAAATCACTGACACTGAGTCAATTTTGACTCACAGTGACCCCAGTGAACAGAGTTGCCCATGGTTTCCAAGACTATAATTTAAAGCAGACTGTAGATCTTTGTCAGTGTAGTAGTTAGTGGATTTGGATAACAGCCTAGAACTTTAATCACCGAACCATCAGAATTCCTTTTTTTTAGACAAACTATGTTGAAATGAAAATTCTATAAAGTATTGGGAAGGTACCTACCCATATCTGAGCTGCAGATACGCTATCTCAAATTACCCTGTAAAATTATTGTGAGAATTAAGATAATTTTTTATAAAGTACATTAAGAATTTCCAATGAACCAAAATCTCTTAACTCTTTTCTTTCTACCAACAAATGACATCTGAGAATTTTGAAAAGATACTATGGAACATTTTGGATACAAAATATAAGAATATGAAGAGGAGAAAAAAATTAAAAGATAAAACATATATAAGTTACATCAAAATTTTAAACTTAGGCATATTCTATTTTACAAAAGTAGTAACATAAAAATAACCTGACAAGGTCCATGCCCAGGAGAGCCTCTTCATCACTGACTTCTTCTCTTCCCCACACGGCTTCGTTCCCAATGCAAACGCCATGTTCATTGGCTCCCATTTCTGCCCCCCACAACCACGCTGGACGACTAAGGACAACAGCATATGTCTCAGGCACTTGCACAATTTCTATGTAAGTACACTGTAAAGAAAGTTACAGCAACAGACACAAAACAAAAGAAAGAGAAACAAAATTCAGAATTTAAAAAATCAACCTGAAAACATAACCATTATGGAAAGGGTATATGAAATATAACCAAACTAAGAAATTGAACAATAAAAGCATTACTCTCAAGACCAATTTAGAATTGACCCTATAGCATTTATTCATCCAAATATTTTCTGAGTATCTCTGATTATAAAGCCATCTGCTAAGAGACATATTAGTTACAAAGATGAATGAAATACAAATCTTTCTCTCAAGAAACCAAGACATACACATTAACCAAGCTACAGATAACACACAAAGCCCATGCAGAGAAGAACAGGTGGTTATGAAAGCTAAGAGAGATTTTATCTAGTTGTACTTGAAACTTTTTGCTGAGCATGTAAATTGGAGTTTATGAAAGCAGTTCTCAAGGCTGGTTTCCAGTGTTACTTAGTTAATGGCAGAAATATACAAATGGATGGTGGAGATGGTCTGGGGCCAGGGAGCATCTCCTTGTGATTTGCATGTGGTGCCATAAATTGGGACTGGCTCAATGGTAGTTAACAAGAACCAAACCAAAACCCACTGTGTTTGAGTTGGTTTCCACTCAGCAACCCTCCATTGGATTCCCAAGTCTGTGAATCTTGATGGGAGACTGCCTCATCTTTTTTTCTGTGAAGCTGCTAAGTAAATTCCAACTTCAAACTTTACAGTTAGCAATCAAACTGTGATACCAAGGTTCCTTAACAAGAAGTCTCTGCCAAATAACTACTTAATGATGTGGTGGCAAGCGGTGGGGGGTGAAGAACAAACGAATCTGTCTTGTACTATAGTCAGAATGTTCTTTAGAAGCATATATGGTGAGACTTCATCTCACGTACTCTGGAGCACTATATTAAGAGGGCTAGTCCCTGAAAAGGGACATCTTGCTTGGAAAAACATAGGGAAAGTGAAGGAGAGGAAAATACTCAATGAGATGGATGGACACCGTGACTGCAGCAATGAGCTTAAGCACCTTGAGGCTGTAAGGTCCATGCAGGATGGGCCATGGCTTTGTCCTATTGTACATACGTGGTTGCTGTAAGTTGGAGCCAACTTGATGGCACCAAAGAACACCACAATGACAGAAATAACTATTTAAAGAACTAAACTGCTAAGAAAAAATATATATCACTTACCTTAAGATGTTCTTCCACGTTATCATGAACTGCAGCAGGAAAATAAACTACCTCTTGAACTTCATCACAGAGCCTATCTGAATTTTTTCCAAAAATAATCCTGTTACCAACTGTTGCTGGAGGTAATGCCACAAAGGTGTCACAGGAGCAAGGTTTCATCTTGTTGTTTTTTAAAAACTAAAGAATCAGACACAAGTTTTAAAAGAAAAAATATTTTCAGTAAAATTTAAAGCAAAGAATTTTACATTCTTAAAAAGGAATATTTTCTAATAAAAGGTCTTGATAAAAGTTTTAAACTTTGTGTACTGTAGTATTAAAATCAGCTCAAAAATGGTTTAGGAATCAATTTTGTACTACAAGAATCAATCAGATAATGGCAATGGGAAGTACCTCCTTCTTGTTCTGTAAATCGAATTTATCCTTTGAGGTCTTTCTCTCCTAAAGTCCTACCTCTCTTTTCACTTTCTGTATTTAGAACCTTGTTTGCCTAAAAGAATTGCAGGAAAAGAGCCTAGTGATTTGTTACTTTAAACTGTCTTTTTTAAAAAAAAAAAAATCCTTTGCTTATTTAAACAAACAAAACCCACTGCTGTTGAGTCAATTCATTAACCGTAAAGGACAGAATAAAACTTCCCCACAGCGTTCCCAAGGCTGCAATCTTTATGAAGCAGCTGGTTGGTTTTAATTGCTGCACGGGCAGAAAATAAAATAAAATATGACCGTCGAGTTGGTTTCGACTCCGTTGAGTTTCCAAAGCTGTATGTTATTCTGTACAGACTGACTGCATGAATACCTTTCTCCCACAGTGCTGATGGAGGATTCACACTGATCTTTGGGTTAGTCCCGTGCATTGCACACTACACCATCAGAGCATCAGCAGGGGGCGCCATAAGGTTCTACTCTGAAACACATGGTGTCACCGTGTCAGAACTGACTCAACAGCAATGGATTTGGTTTGGGGATTGGTACTCTGCTCTACGGTTGTGAAGACCACAATCTGGAGTAGTGGACAGTGATCCTTGAAAGCTGGGAGTGTTTTATCATTTTACTGGCCCAGGCCTTACAAACCTCATCGGTCAGTACTATTCCCTCCTAGAGGGTCACTATAAATTGGAATCTAGTCAAAGGCAGTGAGTAAGCATTTTCAAAGAAGCCCTGATGACACGGTGAATAAAGCAACTGGGATAAGAGAAAGGTAAGGGGTTGGAATCCACTAACTGCTCAGCAGGAGAAAGATGTGGCAGTCTGCCTTTATAAAGATTAACATTTGACATCCTATGGGGCATTTCTACTTTGTCCTACAGGGTTACTGTAAATCAGAATCTATTTACAGCAATCGGCTTGGTTTGTTTTTCTGGTGATACAATGGTTAAAAGCTGAGCTCCTCACCAAAAGTCTAGCTGATCCAACTCACCCAGAAACTCCTCGACAAAAAGACCTCAGATCTGTTCCTGTGAAGCTTATGGCCAAAAAACCCTGTGCTGCCCTGTATCTGACACATGGAGACAACTGTGCGGCTGAACCAATTTGACCACATACAACAACAACAACACGTCTTCAACATTCACAATTGTGGAGCACCTGTCTACGTCAGGCGCCACCCGGCTGTCAAGAGACAGGGTCTAGCTCTCATGAAGATGGCATTCTAGTTTATAGTGCTTCACTCTGGCAGTAATTTTCAGAAACATCACATTTGTCCCTTATCCAAAGCAGCGATGCTACCATAGCCATACATACCTACAATCCAAGGAAATTCATATCACTCGAATTAGAGTTAACAGAAAGTAACGGGGCTCGGACTTCAAATACTTTTCGAAGAGCCACGGCCACCCACTGCAAACCACGCGGGCGGGACACTGTGCAGCAAGCGAGCCCATCGCGCCGCGACCCCAACCTTCCGGGCTCCCACCCGGATTATGCACGCCCCTCTCCGTGCACGCCCCTCTCCATGCACGCCCCTCCCCATGCACGCCCCTCACCTGGCCTCGGAACTTCCCCCGCCGTGAGCTGCCCAAGCGGCCGGGAGCAGCCTGCTGAGACGCGAGTTGCCGGAAGCTGTCACTTTTAACCTCGGAAGTTCCCCCTACTACCAGAGTCTCAGTTCCGGTTACAGGCGAATTTTGTTTACGTTGCTCCCAGGTCTGGATGCTGTCTTCCTTAGTTCGGCTCCAAGATGGGGAAATCCTTCGCCAATTTTATGTGCAAGAAGGACTTTCATCCTGCCTCCAAATCCAATATCAAAAAAGTGAGTAAAGCGACCGCGGGAGGGATCGGTCCAAGGTGGGCTGCGTTTCTAGGGGCTGCTGGAGGTAAGCACGAACGTGAGGGTGTCTCCGAGACCCCAGGGTCTTCGCGGCTTATCCAAGTGGGTAGCCCTAGTGCTCTCTTTCTTCTTCCCTGAGAAACCCGCTGACAAAGCTGGTCCACGGCGGTTATTTTCTAGCCTTCAACGGTTCTGTCAGCTAAAGACTGAATCCTTAAACTGTAAAGACTGCTGCTATTATAGTTAATGTCCTTTTGAGTCGGAGCTGACCCTCCAGTGGGTTTTCAGAGGCAGTTACTCATTCGGGAGATTGCCCATCCTTCTCCATCGGAGCCACTGGTGGATTCGAACTGTTTTTCTTTCGGATTGCAGGGCAGCTTCTTACAAGGATGCTCCAAAGATTGCTGCTAAGTTCCTCAGTGCCTCCCTCCCTCGACAGATTTCGGATCGTTGCTTCTGAACACTGCTCTCCTGTGCAAAGATAGCTATCTATTTACTTTTAAGATTTTTAAGAAAACTTGAAGGGAAGCAGATCCCCTTGGTTTCAATCTTTCATCTCACCCGATTTTAGAGGTCTGTTTCATAATCTTGCGTACTAAATAATGACCAGTCATCTAAGTTACCCACTGAAAAACCGTACTGAACAATCAGATTATTAGATCAGAAGCAGAAAGATGACATAGAAGGCTGTAGAAGTTAAGCCTGGATTCTACTTATTTCACCATAGGCTGATTTACCCCCGAAACTTTGAACAAGATATTTAATGTCTCTGATCCTCAGTCTCCTAATATAGAAATTAAAAATTAACAGTATGAGCTGCCTTGACTTGTGAAATTATTGTGAGTAAAGGAGATGGTGGAGATGAAGGTTTTGAAACAACGTGAGCCACAAAAAGGAGGTACTCAGTAAAAATAGTAGTTGCTGTGTACACAGATTTAAGAAAATGAGACTTTGCTCTACCACCATCACTCTTGAGTTTATCAAACCTTTTTTCCTTCTTGTTCTCCTCAAGAACTTTGGTAGGTAGTTCTTCCTAATTGTTACCCTACTCAGATAAGGAATGTTAATGCATGTGTGTTGTATGCTTATTGGTACTTTTTTTTTCTAATTTTATTGTATTATTTTTACGTGTACTGTCAAATCAGATCTGACTGGTACAGGAGGAGATTGCCCCCTCCTTCTCCAGCAGAGCGTCTGGTGGATTTGGTACTTTTATATAACCTTTTTTTTTTCCTATCTCCCAAACAAGAACTTAGTTTCATTCCTCCACCCAGAGGTGACAATCATTGCCCTTGTTCAGACGAAGGTTTCTCTGTCTCAATAGGTCGTTTTCTGTTCTGTGCATTGTAGAATGTTTAGCAACATTCCTGGCCTCTACTCCTTACATGCCAGTTTGCTGTACCTAATTGAAACAACCAAAAATTCTTTTCAAAATACTCTCTCATTGCCATCAAGTTAGACCCATCTCATAAATGACTCTCCAGTGGGCCTTGAATAAATCACTTGGAGATTGCCCATCATTCTCCCTTGGAGCAATTGATGATTGTGAACCTCCTGCTTTAGGATTGGCAGCGTAACTCCTTTCCATTAGGCCACCAGAGTTCCCTAAAACTCTCTAGACATTGTTAAGTATCTCCTTCTGAGAGGGGGGGTAAAAAATGCCCCATTAGGAACAATTGTCCTTAAGAGATAATGTTTAAACAAATAATTCATACCAAAAGATTAGGAATACAGACCCTTGTTTTGAAACACAGGAGCTAACAAATCTGTTTCGGAGTTAGGCAGACATCTCTAATTTCTTTCAAAGTAGAGCCAGTTAGCCAAATAGTCAAGTCTTAGGGAAAATCTTACAATGTAGATTGCTTAAGAATGAAAAGAATAGGAGGCGGCATTGATTAAAAATGTTTAGAAAAAGGTACATAACAGAAAGTCTTTATCAGGATAAATTGTTCTTAGGCTTGTTTTCCCTTCAGTTCTTTTTTTCCCTTAAATTCTATTTTGTTGTCATGCTGTTGGTGGTGGTTATGTGCTGTTGAGTCTCCTGCAACTCATAGCGACCCTATGTACAACAGCCCTAAACCCTGCTCTATCCTGGGCCATTCTTATTGTCTCTGACACACTTAGCCCCATGACCCCAGTCGCTGAATCAATCCATCTTATGGAGGGTCTTCCTCTCCTATGCTGTCCTCCACCCTCCTAAGGATGATGTCCCTCTCCAAGGACTGGTCCCGCCTTGCAACATATCCAAAGTATGTTAGATGAAGCTTCAGAATCCCTGCTCCAAGGAGCAGCCTGGCTTCACCCTCTCCAGGACGAATTAGTTTGTTCTCCTAGCAGTCCATGGTCTGTTATATACTCTTCTCCAGCACCACAGCTCAAAGGCATTAATTCTCCTTCTATAATCCCCTAGTCATTGTCCAGCTCTCTGAACCATAAAAAGTAATTGCAAAGACCATGGCGTGTTATCAGGTGCACCTTAGTCTCCAGACTGATATTGTTGCTCTTCAGTACTTTGGAGAGGTCTCTGACAGCAGACTTTCCCAATGCAATTTCGTCTCCTGATTTCCTGGCTGCTGGTACCAAGAGTGTTGATTGTGAAGCCAAGCAAACTGAAGCCATTAACAATCTCAGTCTCTTCACCATCTATCATGATGCTGCCAATCAGCCTAGTGGTGAGAATCTTTGTTTTCTTGATGTTGAGCTTCAATCCATATTGAAGGCTGCAGTCCTTGACCTTCTGCAGCAAGCGCTTCAGGTGCTCCTCAGTTTCAGCAAGCTGGGTTGTGTCTCTGCATAATACAGATTGTTGATGAGTCTACCTCCAATCCTGATGCCACACTTCTCCTCATGCAGCCCAGCCTCCTAGATAATCTGTTAGGGAGATAGGCCACGTCCTTGGCACACCCCCTTCCCAATTTTGAACCATGCATTGTTTCCTTGTTCTGTTCTGATGACTGCCTCTTGGTCCAATCTTCTGTTCAACTCGTTAATATCTTGATTTCCTCCCTTTGCTCTAGTGCAATATTCAGAGTGCCTTCTGACATCCAACTGGGTCTTTTCTTCCTCCTCTGTCTTTACAGTGACCTTTTGGATTCTTCCTGCATGATGTCCTTGATATCCTCCCATAACTCATCTGGTCTTCGCACATTAGTGTTCAAGGCCTCAAACCTGCTCCTGAGATGGTTTTGAAATTCAGTTGGGATAGACTCAAGGTCAAATTTTGGTTCCTATGGGCTTGATTTAATTTTCCTCAGCTTAAGCTTGAACTTGTATATGAGTAGATGATGATCTGTTCCACAATCAGCACCTGGCCTAGTTTTCACAGCTGATACTGAGCTTCTGCAGCGATTCTTTCCACAGATGTGATTGATCTGACTCCTATGCATACCATCAGGTGAAATCCATGTGTATAGCCTGCATTTATGTTTCTTATAAAATGTATTTGCAATGAATAAGTCGTTGTGCAAAATTCTATCGTTCTATCTCTAGCTTCATTTCTGTCACCAAGTCCATGTTTTCCAACTGCTGATCCTTCTTCTCTATTCCCGACTTTTGCTTTCCAGTCACTCATTAATGCATCTTGATTGTATGTTCGATCAATCTCTGACTGCAAAAGTTGGTAGAAATCTTCAATTTCCTCTTCTTTGGTTCTGGTTTTTGGTGCATATATATGAATGGTGGTGGTATTCACTGGACTTCCTTGTATGCGTATGGATATTATCCTGCCACTCACAACATTTTATTTCAAGACAGATCTAGAAATGACTTTTTTAACTATGAAAGCAACCCCATTTTTCCTCACTTTTTTGTCTCCAGGATAGTAGATCAGATAATCTTCTGACTCAAAATGTCCCATGCTAGTCCATTTCATTTCACCAGTACCTAGTATGTCAATATTTATGTGTTCCATTTCTTTCTTAACAATATTAAATTTTCCTACATTCATTGTTCTCATATTCCATGTTCCAATCACTAGTGTCTACTTAGGGGAGCTCTGGTGGCCTAGTGGCAAGAAACTGAACTGCAATCCCAGAGGAACACGGTTCGAATCTACCAGATGCTCTGCCGGTGAAGGAGGCGCAATATCCTCCTGTACCAGTCAGATCTGATTTGACGGTACACGTACACAAAATTAAAAAAAAAAAAAAAAAGAACTAGTGTCTACTTAACAGCTATTCCTCCTACTTTGTGTTTCTATACTTGAGTGCTCAGCCCCAGTTGCCATATTTGTTAGTCTAAGCGTGCACTATTGTACATAGGGTTTTCAAAGGCCAGCTATTTCAGAAGTGGATGGCCAGTCCTTCCTAGTCCGTCTTAATTTGAATGCTCAGATTTAGAACATTATCTGACAGACAAGCATTTTACAGAGAAGAGCCAATTAAAGATATTTCCCAGTAGTAGAAAAACCCAATAGATTCTGTGTTGTCCACGCCCTTGGCAAGTGTGTGTTTTTGACCCACCTCTTTTCCCTGATTCACCAGCTTTCACTTCTACTCCCACCTACTCAATTCACCATCTGTCTTCCCTATCCAGTAGCAGTTGAGAAGATACACAGCAAAATATACATGTACTTTCAAGAGATGCTAATTGCCTGCTTCAAGTTACTCAACTTTTCTCATTACCTTTCCTCAGTTGTTTCTTTCCAGTCAGCATAAACTCACTGTTGTCCTCCGAAGTTGTATTTAACCTTTCAAATTGCTGTTACCTGCTTGATATTCATAAAGGGGCATAAGTCTTAAGGCACACTTTTTTTTACTAGTTAAATTAAACTGTAGTTAGGGGTTTTTTTTGTTGTTTATTTGATTTTTCCAACTTTTTATTATGATTTGAATGAAGTATAAAGAATAAAATAACCATTCTTACCCATTTTGGGGGTTTTTGTTTTTGGTTTTTGGGAGGTTCTCCCTCCCATTTTATTTTGTGATACTGATTATAGTGCAGTCACTCTAACAGCACTCATCCCACTTCCTCCTTGTAGTTCT